TTGCTAATAATAAATGTAGATTCAGTTTGATTTGTGATACACATAATAGTGACATATGTCACAAGTTAGACGGTCACTCCACTGCATGCCGTCTTATTCTTGAAGAGAATGAAATTGTTTTTGACGTGACACTGAATTTGGTGTAACCGAAAAACATACTTTCAACTTTGAAACAAAAAAGACCCAAAAATATCTTAAATATTAAACAAGTATACAATGTTTGTACCCAAAACAACTAAGCAACACAAAGGGATAGAACTGAAATGCAACAAATTGTTATAAATTCTATATGATAACCATTATTTATCTAGGTATTGAGTGTTTGAGGATGGAGAAATCGTTCAAGATATAGTTTTGACTCATCCTAATTCTATAAAGTTGTTCAATATAGTTTCCACTATATTCATTATTGATTCAACGAATAAGACCAACAAGTACATGTTTACACTATTGGAAATTGTTGGTGTTACTTCTACGGAGATAACTTTTTTAATGGATTTTTCATTTTTGAAAGAAAAAAATAGGACAATGTTGCACGGGCTTTAGAAGCGTGCAAGACAGTGTTAAAGTACAAAGTAAACACGTTGAAGGTAATTGTCATTGATCATGATACCACATTGTTGAATTCGGTTGCAAAGATGTTTCCTACTTTATACACATTACTTTGTAGGTATCACACTATAAAGAATGTGAGAAGTAGATTTAGGCGTGTGGTAGGGACCAAACAAATAAAGGGTGAAGATGGAAAATATCCAAAGCTAATGTGATACTGGAAAGAATAATGGATGCTTAGATTTTTATAATAAATTCTTCTACAGAAGAGTTATATGTCGATTATGTTATATTTTTTAAGAAGGAGTATGACAAATATATGGATTTCTCGAAATGTGTTGAAAGTACAATTCTAAACCAAGTGAAGGAAAATATTGTTTGTGCTTCGATTGATCAAGTTATACATTTTGAAAATACAACTACTAACCAAGTTGAATCTTCCCATGCTACACTCTGTAATTGGTTGGAAAATAGTAAAGGTGGTTTGTGTAGAGATTTGGACTCTGTGAACCAAATGATCCAAAATCAGCATAATGAGATACATACATCATTTGGGCGTAGCATTATAGTGTTGGAACATAGATTCAAAGACAACAAACTTTATTCACAGTTGGTCGACCACATATCTTGAGCATGATTGGATTTTATTTTTCACAAAGCCAGACGAGTTGAGATAGTAGATTCAGATATCTCAAAGTGTGGTTGTACAATTAGGAAGGAGTACTGTTTTTCATGTGCTTGTTTAATTTCAAAGAATGTAAAACTTGATAGCCCAATACAAATGGATGAAGTTTACACTCACTAGAAAAAACTTTGCTTTAATGATGATGGTGTGATGAAGAAAGGTAAATCAAATATATCTATCTTGACGGAATGAGAAGTAATTCAAGAGAGATTTTTCAAAGTCAACGATAACATGAAACTCCACATCAAAGAGAAATTGATGAAGAATGTCTATCCAAGGACCATGGATTTGAAACAATCGGTGCAACTGGTAAAAACAAAAGGTCCTGCTAAGAAGGTTAAACAATCACCGAGTGAGAACTCAATGATGGGGTCTCAATCCTATTTTGAACATGTCGACACACTATTTTCAAATTCTTCAAATCTAAAATCTCAAAAAAGTGTTTTCAAAGGTACTCTCATTAGAAAACCATATCCTACACCACCTTTACTGAAAATCTAATACATCGAAAATATGTCAATTTTTATTCATGAATACATTGAATGGATCGTTAATATTGAAGGTGATGGTAACAATAATTATCGAGTTGTTTATGCTTTGCTCGATAAAGGAGAAGAGAATCATACATTTGTCCGCTAATAATTTATCAAAGAGTTGAAGGCGCATAAATAATCATACACAACGCTATATGAAAAAAAAATTGATACAATTCATGAATATTTTATTCCTTGTGTTAGCGGTCCGACACCGGAGGAAAAATTGGCGAGTTTCACTGAAATGGGTTATCTTATAACAAGTTCATATGATATGATGTGTATTGATCTAACAAGATACAGGTTCTCAAAAACATTTTTCCACTTCAGAATGTCTCACCTCAAAATCCAACTAATCGAATTATGTGTATTTGGTGGCTTTCTAAATAATTGCATTTTGTTCAAGTTTGTTTGAAACCTGGATTCGCTATACCACTTGCATCACCAGAGTGGACAACTCATTTAACAAAGGAAGCTGAAACTTGGCCAAATCATTTTATGGATAGGATGCAATAATTCATCAATTTAAGCTAGATTGAAAGAGAATCAAATAAATAAAATTTAAAGGCAGAACTACGCACATATACAGATTTAGGCAGTGACACATATTTGATTCATTTTTATTTTTCTCCAATGTATTTAGGTGGTTAGACATGTTTTGGATGTAATGTTGATTAATATTAAAATGTATACATTTTCATAAATTTTAATGTATGCTTCAATTTTTCAAAAATTTCAACATTGTTGTGTGTTATAACAAGTTGTGTTTCTAAAACAAATTTCATGTGAATAGTAATGTAACGGGTGATCCAAAAATGTACATCCATACCAACCATATATTGTTAAAAAAATATAGAAAGGGTTTATTCGAAATGCACTTTCGGACTAACCCTTATTTCACTAAACAAAGTAAGGTGTATCTTAAAGTACATCTTCGAAATATTCTCTAAGACATGATTGAATTTTTAAGGTACATATTAATCTAAAACTTGAATAAATATGGGTGTCACTAAACTTGTTTTTAACACAAAGACACAAATAAGCATACAAAATGTCTCGGTATGCATACCTCACTTTTGTCTAATTCAACGGCAAAAAGCCTCCTCTTCAATTTAGGTTCTCAGAGATCACTCGTCTTGTCAATTTAAAATAAAAACTAGAGAATTTACAGCGATGGGAAGACACCGTGCAACAAGTTTGAGCTAAAGACGAATAAAGATTTAACTGTTATTTGGAATACATTTCACTATTACAAAACAAAAAATGTGATCAAGTTGGATGCGAAGATTGAAAGATCGGCCAAAGATATTTTAAAGATGTTGAAACGTTTTATTTGATGATAAAGTTCGATTTACGATAACAATTATCTTTGTAATATTTTGTTTTTTTATATATATCATAACAATTATTAATATTATGGTTAATACTTATTCTCCTCCCTGTTATAGGTGCTTTTTGAAAAAACTCATGTAAATTAAAATTTTGATAAATGATTTTTTTTATTTTAATTAATTATTATTTTTAAAGTCATGTTGGCATTTCATTTTGTAATAATTTTTTTTTATGTTAAAAACCATGTTAAATACTCAAAAAATTGATGGAGATGATTGTTGAACCCACAACCCTTGCAATATAAGGCCAAGACCTTGTCACTAAACTCACTTTCAAGTCATACAATTGATACACATTTAATTATTCTTATGGTCGAAAGAAGAATATGTATTAACCATTAATATTAATATATCTTTATACATGTATCTCTTTCGTTTCTATATTTGTTTATGATTCATTAGTTTTCAAAAATACACTTCTAAAAGTTATGCGAAGATGCAATTCCTCGTTAATTTTTGTCACAAATTAAATATAGTTCACTTACAATGAATTGTGTTTCAATTGGAGTGGAGTTTGAGCAGAAGTACATTTTGAAATTTCAAAAACTATTTTGATTTTTCACTATGATGAAAGAGCAAGCCTTAAGGATGGGAGAGCAATCTCGACTCCCACACTATAAATATCCATTTCTGCGTTTATTTATAGATAAATGAACCGTTTATGGTTTCTTCAGCTTAAATCCTAAGACATGGAACATTTTTCTTATGCTTATGGACATGCCTGGTTAAATCTCAATAATAGTATTAGCTTCTAATAGGATTGACAATTAACTGAACCAACTCAAAAATAGTTCGAAATTCGATTTGACGATTAAATCGTTGAACTAGATTCATAAACTAAATGAGCTAAATATAAATAAAAACTATGTTCGTTAATTACATGAGCTGAATTTTGAACTATACATAGTTCGACTTGTTAGATTCATGAGTCGACTTGATTATATATGAAAATAATTATATTATCATTAAGAATTTGTTTAAAGATTTACTCTAAATTTTAACCCTATATTGTCTCGCATGTCCTAGTTATTAGTTATGGCAATAAAGTTGACCGTCGTATTTAGAATTCTTATTGGAAATATTATGACATTGGCTAAAATAACATATTTAAGGAACGTTACAAGTGGTGTAATTATACTATGATGAAAATGTATCTCATTAAATTTATAAATGTTTAGATAAATTTAAATTTCAAATGTGTCTTAAAAGTTGTATAGTTTTTAAATTAGTAGATTTCTTAAACAAAGTTAAATTTCATACTCATAACTATTATGTTATTTCAATATTTTTCTTTTTTTTTTAAAATATTAATTTAAAATGTCAAATATATAAAAATAAAATAGACTTACAAAATGACTTTTAAATCAAAAATAAAATAGACTTAAAAAAATAGTTATTTGACGAGTGAATTTGAGCTTAAAAAAATCCATGTCGAACTCGAACCGAGATTTGAAATGAACCAATTCTTAACGAGTTGAGTCGAGCTAAAACGGGTTCGACTCGAGTCGACTCATTTTCAGCCCTAGCCTCCAAAAATGTGATAGTAGTGCGTGTGTTGTGGTATTCTATAACTTAGAATTAGGGTTTATAAATTTACATTATAAGAATATGATTAATGACACATTTTCGTTTTCTCCCGTGGACAAATTCAGTAAAGCTATCTCTCCCTCTCCCTTAGAATTTTACATCATCGCCCTGCCTGATTAGTGTGGACCGCAGGCCTTAAAAGAACATCTGAAAATACAAGCATCAAACCCATTAAGGAGAACACCACACGCACCAGTCACCACAATAACGAGCAGCTCTTCAGAGAACTTCTATATCAGCAACCAGAGTGGTTTACATGTCCCTCAGCATCTGAGCGGCAAAAATCAAAAGCTCCACCATTTCAAGCCCGGCAGCAGAAACAGTGTCTATCTTCTCGTCACGGCATTCCTGATGAACCGTGTCTACACTATGTCTAATGTAACTAACTTCTGTCTCAACTGACAAACTAACTGGTAAGGAGCTGCCAAGGGCAGTCCTTAAAAGTTTTGCCTCGTTGAGAACACCATTTAGGGCTTCTGAAACACCAGAAACTGAACCTTCGGAAGTCACAGACTCCTTGACCTAAGAACCATATCAAGTAGGAAACTGTGTAAAAAAAATGATTTAAGCTTACAAATTTCAAAATCTAAAACCTGATAAAATTCCATATAATTTCACTGCTAGATGCTGATTTTGAACAGTAATTACTCCAAAAACATGCAATCCCATCATCAGGAGGCCTCCCCTCCAACTCTTTCATTACAAAATTTATGGTTTTGGAACAAAAAAGTATGATACCTTCCAAAGAGAGAGGCGAAGCCTATGAATTGACGAAGTTAAACGCTCCATGCCATCCATGCTTTCTTTAAGTGTTGCATTTTCAATCTTCATTCTGATAAACGATAAGCAAACTATTTAAGTAAATAAAAGGAAGAAAAGAAACATTGCATGTCATAGAGGTATCTTCAAAAAGGCCAAATAGATCTGACATAGCTTAAACAATCCTGCCAAAGTCATACATTGATTGATATAATAAAATCAAAAGAACAGACTCCAAAAATTAACACATGCCTTGCAAAATCCACACTGTTGGATCTGATGAACTTCCCTTCATTATTTGAATTACTGACAACTTCTTTTCCTCTAGTGTCCAGTGGGTCAATCCATCGTCTCAAATATGATTTCTTCAGCAAGTTTTTTAGAGTTCCATCACTTTCACGGATAACAAGCTTTCTTTCTCCCCCGTCAACTCCTTGTTTACTCTCATGATCTAATTTTCTGCACGTGCATTAAAATGAAATATTTTATTAATCAAAATGACTTTTGAAAGCAATGAAAGTTAACTTTTGAGCCAGCAAGAGTAAAAAGCACAAAGCAGAAAAATGAAATGAAACTAACTATTGATTAATAGTCAAGTATAAAAACATATGATTACAGGAAGAGAAAAAGTGTCTTCTCATTTGTTGCACAAGTGTACTATATGACTTGGTTTACCAAGCAATACAAGAAATTATACTTTCAGATTGAATTTTATCAAACCTTGTGAAAATTATAAAAGACATGAACAAAGTGCCTGAAGGAAAAAGGGGCGGTGTTGGCAAGAGAATCAAGGCTAACTAGACATAATTAAAACTTTATACAACAATAAATAAAATTAGATGCTTAGGAACAATTAGCTACAAAAGCACAGAACCTAGTAAAAGTAAAAATATCCACAGATACAAAAATATTGAATATGTAACCATCTTTAGAAAAGTAATCATACTCCAGAAGTAATTGATGTTCCTGCTTTAATTGTGCCAATTCCATTAGAGCTTTCACCTTTTCATTAGTAACCTGAAGTAAAACACAACAACTCTCAAATTAAAATACAATTTCCGAGCATTGGATAATATCAAAATCCTTGCACGAGTGATTTAAAATAAGGTTCTCCTAGTCCACAAATCAGAGGCACATACATACTGCTTTGGATATTTTGAAGAGGACTCTTAGCATAGCTTCATTTTCTGAAGGATATGAATATAAAAAATTGCAAAATGAAAATAAAAGAATAGAATAACTTAAAATCTAGAAGCTGCAAACATACAACTAACTTTCTTCTCTGACCAATATAGTCTATATAGTATACATAACACAGTCATAACTTAAGAAATTTTCTAAACTCTAGCCACCACAGAGCTATTAGCATCTAAATGTTCCAAGTGTCTGAAGCAAAGACAATTTTACCTGTAACAAGTTCCTTTTAAGTTCTTCATTCTTTATTTGAAGGGCTGAATTCACATTTCTCTCCAATAGATGTCTTTCGTCTTGCTGTGATAACAGCAATAATGTATCAACCTGAAATATAAAGCATGGTGGGCATCAGAAAGCTAGATTTACATACCTCAGATACAAGAGCTTAAATATGCAAACAGTCCCTGCAAATATTAAAAGTTATAGTTTTAGTTGTAAAAATATTTTAATCCTTGCAAATATACAACTTTTTCTTTTGATCTCTAATGTTTTATTTTAGCCCTTGCAAAATTTGTGTTGAAAATAGTTCTGGTAATATGTAGAATATCTGATTGTAATCACTCAATATAAGGACCAAAATGAATATTACAAGGACCATTTTCAATATAAATATATTTTTTAGAGACTAAAACAAAACACCAAGGACCAAAAGCAAAAAGAGGTATATTTGCAAGAACTAAAAACAAATCATTTTTTACAAGAACAATAGTATATTTGCAAGACTAAAGAAAAACATATTTAAATCCAAAATATGTTTTGATCAGCGAAAAACATAAGAGGAAAAGAAAAAACTAAATACATGGACACATTAAAATAATATGACCGATGGTGTAACTACCTTTTGTTGCAACGCCATTGCTAAAGCATCAGATGAATCACCTTGTCCATCAGTTTTTAATGCCAAAGAGCCAAGACCACTCTGTAAGGATCAACGAAAAAACTTAATGAATTCCAAGCATTGCATCTAATCAACAAATATCAGTGAAATAAAGCAGATCTAATCTAGACCAATTAGGACATTTAATTGCATCTTAAAGTTATCACACCACTTTCTATTATGAAGAGCAATGTCATTGTTATGCCAACAGGATTAACTTATCTAAAATCAAAAAAGAAAAGTTATCTTAATCTTAAACTTCTCAAATGTATTGATCAATAGTGTGAATACTGCAGAGATTTTTTATCAGATTCAAGGAATAGTTGTTGCAATCTTCATCATCAGGCTGGCCTAATTTCAGCCTGGAAGTAATCAGGTGGATATTAAAGTAATCAAGCAGGGTGAAATTCACTTATCTATAGGTGATTGGGTTAGCCCCAGGTCAAAGTAGCAGGCATAACTTCAGTCAGAAAAAGATTAGAATGGCCCAAAAAAAACTCATTTCCGTCTGATGTTATTTTGTTATTTTTTCCTATACTGATCTTCTTTTCAACTTCTGTGTATTTATTCATAACTCCGTAATACTTCCAATTCTCAATTGTGAGAAGTGTAAACCTTCAAGATAAGTAAGTTTATGTAGTTTTGACTAATATTAAAGTAAATCATATTCTTCGAGTTCACTATGCACTATTAATTATAGCTCCACAAGCCACCAATCGCCAAGTGCCCTATTGCTATTAACAACATGAGACATTCCTTTGAAATATGAATGCAGTATTAGTGAGCAGTTTCAAACCTTGGGCTGTGAAACAGTTTCATCTTGCGGGCTTATGTCTGCATCCCCACATTCATTCTCTTCTACTTCTGTGTCCCTTTGAGGGACCAAACTTGGCTCAATATTCTGATTGAACTTCCTGATCCTTTCATCAATCTCATTGATTATGGATTTAATAGTGGATTCCCCGTCTTTAAGTAAATTCAGAATTTGATCCTTATAGTTAAAATGATGATGTTTTAAGTCTGCTATTCCATTCTCAATCACTTTGTTCATATAAATCTGAAAATGAGACATCAGAATTCAAAATTTGCAAATGGATTAAAATGACTTTTTTTTAACATTATATGAACACTCACTTGCTTCTTTTCCATTACATTGACTCTTTTCTTTAGGTGGTTTTCAATTTCCAAGCCCTAAAGCATCCAAAATGGAAAAAGAATAACAAATGATTAAAAACTAAGGTAAACAAGGCAAAGGCAACAATGAAGATGAGTCAACATTCAACAACAGAGGTAAACTACGAGTCTAAAACGTACCACCCTAAGTTTACTTTGAAGATAGTCCACAGAATTGTTTACTTTGTCCAGCTGCTCTTCTAATGCACTCTGTCTGAGGAATTGTTATTCAAAATATGTACAGGCAACAGAACAAAGAATCTCAACACAATAATTTCCCAAGCATGTACGACAGTGATCTACTAGTACAACAGTTAAGAGTATGCCTAATCAAACTTGGTTGTAAAGAATTTTAGCAAGCATTTTACCAGGCACTAAAATGGGTAACCAGAATAAGGAACATCGGGTGTAGGAGCGCGAGTTCGAACCCGCGATATCCCACTTGTTCTTTAATAAGGTGAACTACAGCCACTAAGCTACTTACCGAAAAAAAAAAAAGAATAAGGAACACCTTGTCTAATGATCACAAAAAACAGAATATCTGGATTCTAAAACCTTACAATGTATTTAGAAGTAGAAGCATCATTGAAACTCCATAATTCCTCAGAGTCATCCAAAAGACATGTACATTTAACATCCCAACTTGAATCATCACATTCTTTCTGGGAATATTGCCTGATCTGAAAGAACTTATTAATAACCTGTAAATTCATAATAAGAAGTATAAAGAGAAAGGACAAAATAAAACCAGAGCCCGTTACACACTATCAAATAATAACAAAAATCATAAACACGCCTAAATGCAAATGCTTTTAGCATGATTGTAAAGTGTGTTTGGGTGAGCATTTGCAAATTTTAGACTTTTTTGATTTTGCAAACTTTATTTGGCCAATAGCGAGCGTGAAGTGAAGTAATCAATATTTGGAAGCTTTCTGTTCAAAAACAAGTTTTTTCATAATTAAGAGTACGGAATTTTCAACTGTATGCAAAAACTGCATGAGGATAAGCAACCCAAGAGCGCCATCTTGACATGTACTTCCTTGATAAACCCAGAGTACACTAATAAGATCCTACAAGGCTACACCAATTAGAGATAAGGCCAAATTAGTTCTTATAAAGCTTGGGCAATCCTTACCCATTAAGCTAGGCTTTGGGTTGAGTTAAGTCTAGTCCAAATTCTAAGATGGTATCGAATGTTGTTAAATGGTGGCCAGGGGATTTTTTTACAACCACCATAGACAATTTGTGAAGGGATGCCAGCCATAGGCCGCAATGGCGTGTTTATATGTGGTATTTTTGGCGTTCCGCAAAAGATCTGTTATTGACTATTGAGTCATTTGTTTTTGTCCACGCACCATATGTCTGTTCTTGGACATGGTGTTTGGATTCCACATTCACATTGACTAGAGGTATGGCAAAGTTTAATCCTTGTAAGATTTAGCCAATCCTCGTCCCTTTAACTAGTTTTCAAGGTTGAGTTAGATCTAAAAACCCATATTCTAAGCCCAAACTGATATTTTATCCTACACCTTCGGGTGTGGAGTATGTTTTTGACTCAGACTCGGACACAATTCGAATAGAAAATTGATCATCAACTAAGTATCAAAGGCCTCTAAATGTTTATACTGAATGTCTTTTATAAACACGGTGACACCAAGCAACCTAACAACTATTCCAATCCAAACCCGGACTAGGATAATTCAAAATTAGAATAAAATCCCTTGGTACTAAAAACAGCAACCTGATGCTAACTTGCTAAGGAGCTCCCATCATTGCAGGATTCGGGGAAGGATCAAACTCACTGTGTATCCATTTAGACAGCCTTACCTTGCATTGCAAGAGGCTGAATCTACATCTTGAACAATTGTCAGCAATGACACGGCAAGAACTCCAACCGTTAACGCCAAGGCTCTCCTTCCATAAATTCCCCAAATAGCAAAGTACAATAAAATAATCCCAAATTGAAGACCCTAAATGAATTGTTAAACTAATTATTAGCAAATCTACATCAGAATAATTTTTCACTTTTAATCCAACTTCTCAAGGAGTGCCTTGAAGCAACGGTTTGAGTTATTGTGTGATTAGGCCAGAAGTTCAAGTCTTAGAATGAGCCTATTGAAATTGTTTTGCAAACTTGAGCCAAGGCTGCCTATAATAGACCTGCAACCCATTGCTGAACACTTCAAGTTTAAAACGACTAAGACTATTTACTTTCTAGTTTCTAAAAATATTCAGTTTTCAGCTTTTAAGATCTGTGTTCGTTTTAAATTATTAAGAAGGAAATAGAAGACTCAGGAAGTAAAAAAATTGCTAAAGAGAAGATGGAAGACAAGCTAGAAAGAATGCACTTTTAGAAACAATGAACAGGGTGTTATGGCATTTTCAAAATTTCTGAAAAAGAATGGTAAGGGAAATATTTTATCATTATTCTTTCATGTTTCTTAGTTAAAGTGAAGATGAAAACAGGAAACATGGAAAGTGAACGGGCCCTAAATTTTTTTTTTTTTTTTTTTGGCAAAATAAAGTTTCTGGTTGTTAAGCTTGAGTTTTAGAAGGAAACTTATTTTGCAAACAGTCAGATGCAGCAAACATATATATGAAGTACTACTTAATTGGAAATAATACACCTTCTAAGAGTAGCACAAATATGCTTTCAGCTGCACCTTCCAAAATATGGCATGGTTTATACAAATAAAGATTTCAACAGATCTAAAATGTTATACTCTTGTTTTCAAAAAGCATTACTGAGTCTTCAACAGACCAGTAAGTATAAGTCATATCATGTATACTCAAATGCATGAATAGTTGTAACAACAAACACTCTGTTCTCTAATGTATAACGAAGAGCTTGATAATAAATGTGTAGAACAGTGAGGATTTTAGATTATTACTTTTATGTATCCTAACTCTAAGACACTGTAGGATAAGCTCTGAATTGAATAACAAAGGATAAGGGGGAGAAAGTGATAAAGAGAGTAGGAGATGGAGGAAAAAGTGAGAAACATTACCTTCTTAAAATTTTCATTTTGCTCTGTATACATTGCTTGATCACTCTGCAGAGCATCATGAAATTCCTTTTGCTTAAGACAGACTGAGGTGAGTTCTTCTATCCTATGTTAAGAGTCAGTGATAGATTAGATAGCAAGTGAAATCAAAAGACTTCTAGGAAAAACATGTCCCATGTGTAATGGGAAAAAAATGCAACAATGTTCGAAGCATTACTAAAATATGCATATAAGGGACAACCTTGTTTAATAAGTTACCATGCAAGAGAGTAAGAAATTCTATAATAGAAAGTCAGCATGGTCCTTCATATCAAGAAGCGGAGCGCAAACACAGCTGTTAATGTTTTGGAAATCAATTCTTACAGAAACAAATGTCAAACAGACTATGAAAACACAGCAAAGCATTGTCAATTGGCTAAGTAAGATTAATTAAGCATTTCAAATGGGATATCATTTCTCAGAAATGGTCTAACACGTCGTCAATTGGAAATTGACAGTTGCTTTAATTATTGAGCGGATCTTCTCACAGTTTCTTTGCACCAAATATAAAAAATTGTATCATGGCATCAGCATCTAATTAGATGAGATAAAAAAAAATTGTTTCTGGTATCTCCCAAGTCATCTACTGTTACCTTTCATATTTCTCCGGTATTTAGTTGATATATATGCACTAATATGATGGAAAAATTGGGTATACCTTTTGAGGAAACCATCTATCTGTTGTGACATTGCCTCCTCCTTTTCCTTGGCCTTTTCAGCCTGTTAGTTCATGAAAAACGCTTAGACTTCAGAATATCAACCACCATTAAACTAAAAAGTACATAGTATATTGAAGAAAATATTATTTTAATGAAAAGCAACAAGTATAGTCACCTCAATTATTGCATGATCCCTTTCAGCGAACGCAGCACCTACACAGCCCTGGAAAAATTTAACTTGCTTCTCGGCTTCCATATTCTTGACAAATGAGTTTAAAGCAAGTCATTTAATTGTGTACAATAATGTCAGAGCACATATCAAGACTATAAACCTCAGAAGGTACGACACAACAAAATGTTAATTCTTTCAACAAACTCTAGCACTTGCACTAAATCAATTTATAAATTGGATTAAGAATTCTTCCCATAATGTTCTTGTCATAACCATTGCAAAAATTTCAAGCTAGACCCAAGGTTGAACTATTTCAGACAAATAAATATTGGAAGTGCTATTTCCTAGTAATTTTGTATTCAACAACTTTCCACGAGTTGCTAAAGCTGGATAACAGACTCACAATGTAGTGCCCACAATAGCGTGTATAGAAAAATAGAGTATAGTGATGCGGAGTGAAAGAAAGGGGAGGACATACCTTCGCCACCTCGGCACTGTGTAGATCTGCCAGTTGACTCTGCATACAATACAGTACAAAAATAAACAGAAAGAAATAATTCTTAAAACAAAAGACATAAAAAGCTGAATTGCCCACTTTAATTCTGTAAGCCTCAGAAAGCTCCTCTTGTAGATTTAGACTGTCTCTTGTGCATGAAGCCAACTTATTTTTCAAGCTCTCAATCTCCTGTTCCAAGCCAGCTGTCCTAATTGGGCATGAATTTCAACGCAATCAATACATTCTGTTGGGCTTGATATACAATAAATACTAGCTCCTGATAGCCAAAGGAAAATCAATAGATACCTTTGAAAATGCATTCGGGTAGCGACAGCAAGATAGGCAGGCCCAGCTTGCTGCATGCATAGCTGTTCGATATCTTTGCGTAATTCATCACGCTCTACAAATCATATACTCTAAAAGTTTAATATTCATAACAAATGACTTTAAAGCCAAATGAAAGATTATAACATAAACTTAGACACGTGGTACTTAGAACTAGAAGTACGGATTACAACTTACTTTACTTTAGGGCATGTTTGTTTCAGCTTTAAAAAAATAGATTTAAACTCTTTTGTCATAAATTAAAAAAGTCCAGTAACATAAATATACATCATTGAAGTATAGTATATTATAAAATTTGAACTTGCAATCAACTAAAAATTGTCAAAGAAATTTGTAAATGAACAATATACAATTATCAATGAATTCAGCATTGGGATTCTGACAAAACAAACCAAACATAGTAGCATGCATAGTAACAATGGAAGGTTTAGAGAAATGTAGATACCATGTTCCAGTAGTCGAATTCGAGCCAACAATGATTCATCATTCATACCCTCAGCCATTCTGGAAATTCAATATATCAACAACAAAAAGCAATAATTATGAAAGGGGTTTAAAGGTTAATTATGATCAATAAAAGGGAAAATGGAAAATCAAAACGAAAATGTAATTGGCAGCACCTGAAGGATTGGTTGGTGGAATTGGAAAAACAATTGAAAGAAACGACGAAGATACCGTTTATCGTCGAAGAAAAGGGTTTGCGTGGAAAATGGTAAAAATCCAAGGGATTACGCCAGGATTCGACAAGCTGATGCACTAATACGCATTTTCGCGCAACTTATTTTTATTTTTATTTTTTTGCAATTTTCTAATAAAAGATCCGGCTGGAAAGTCATCCAAGCCACGGTGTATAATAAACTACAAAGTGAATTGTTTTCTATTTATGTAAAGATATTATAATAAGATTCCACAACAAAATAAAATAAAATTAGATTAAACCATAAATATAAAATTAGATTAAGCCATATTGCAATTTTTTTTAATTATTTATTTTATTTCGGACTTGCGCCGATAAACGAGTTAGGTAGGGCGAGCTAATTAGGGTGTGGTTTAAAATTTATCTTTATTACTCCTTCATTTCGTAATGAATAGTCTACTTTGAATAAAAAATATTATAAAATAAATTATCAATTTTAATTTTTAATACACGTTTTCCAATTCTATCTTTTAATATTATTTTAATCATTTTTAATATTTGATAATAGACACTTTAATAAAAATATTAATCTGTCTTTCAATTTTTTAATCGGAATGAAATGGTCAACAATGTCATTTAGTGTGAGATGAAGGGAGTATCAATTAAGGGTGTGGTATTTAAAATCATCACATCATGTATTTCACCAAAGTCTCTCAATCGTGCAAGATAAATACATCTAAACAAATCAAAAGCTCAATATGAGACAATTGAATGTCTTGGACTAATCGACACATACCTTAATTGACGCAAAACCCACTAAAGGAAGTGTCAAACCATACACAATTCACATCTAATCCAATCTAGATATAAGCATAGCTTATCCAATAGGTGTATTATGTCGTGGTCAACATAGGAATATAAAAACACGTCTTTTTTTAATAATAGTACTAGCAATAGTTGTTACAAATACTCTCTATACGGTTATGGCATATGATTTCATTTAAACAAAAAGAAATTGTTAGCACATAACTCGATCTCTGTGTACGCATGGTCATATGATGCATCCCAATAGTGTAAAAGTGTATAATAATTCATGTTTGCATAAACAATATTAATCAGTAAAAAAAATTGAATGTAGTATTTTTAACAATTATTTAAACGATTACATCAATATGTAACCTAAATTAGTGTCATATATATTTCCAATTATTTCTCCTTGAACTTTGTGATAACATTTAGCTCCTTAATTAAGTAGATAGAGTAGTAATTCACATGCAAAGTCGTCAACTACATTGAGTTCGCCTAAACACTACAAATACATTTCAGGAGTGTTGTGTTTGTGGCACTCGTTCTAAAAATAGGGTAAAGTTCACCAAATAAAGTATATACATTATTATGACATACTTCTTGTGCATATGTCTACCAATATTGTTATCAATGATGTCACATGCTCTCGCAACTGCAAAATGTCTATGAAATACATCTTTTATGATTTTGAAATGTACGTGATTCCCTTGATTTTTTTCAACTTCTCTTATAATGTCCTTTGGGTATAATCCAATCAGCTCAACCATCATGTACATTACTTCATGGTTGGTCAATATTGTGTGGTTGAAAAAACAAACGCAAATGGGTAGTTGTAGCATATATGACACATTACACGTGCATCATTGTCTTCTCCTTACCTATAAATAAGAGTTGCTTCTTTTCTCGTGCCACCTCTAAAAAAAGTTGTTAACATGCCACGATCAACCACAATGTAACTTGTCACAACAAACTTATTCACTTCATTATCTCTTAGAGCATCAATAAGCCATATCTTTTTTAAAGTAGTCAAAAAATGATCTTCTTGTCATTACTTCTTACCAACACATTTAAAATGGCCGACTATGGAAATGAAAAGTAAATAATATATAATAAAAGAAATGAGAATATAATGTAAAAAAAAAATATTAAATTGACATATGTACATAAGTATATTACTATATATCCTATCAAATATGTCTCCCTGTGTGATCCCCATAAAGTGTTGATACCAACCGAGTGTATGAGCCTCTCGAATATGACTTGGTATGCACCTTAGGCTCATAAGGTTGTGGCTCACATGGTTTGACTATATCTACCATTTGATAATAAGAAATCACAACACAAACAAATCCATACAAACACATATATAATGCATGCAATATGCAATATTAAATAGGTAATTTACGTACTCAGCTAGTGGGTCTTTTAGGGTTAGTTAAAGAACACTTAGGTATCTAATCCATTGTTCTTACCTCAAATTTTCAACACAATCATTAATTATTAAGATGTAATAAGTTTTTCATATGATGATGGGCTTATTGCCAAAATCGAAGTGGTCAATTATGATTATGGACATCTCGACATATTTGTCTTGTCGATAAATGGTGCCAACTTTGGTCGAATTTTCAATCAAAGAGACCAAGGATTTTATTAGTTTTGGGACTTAATGAAATTCAGAGTACCCAGATTGTTTATTCTCCAGTCAGTCGAATGAGCTATAAGTGAATAAGATCAGACAATTATTTGAAGACACATGGAAGCTTGTCAAAGTTGAATGATGTGTGGAGACGAAAACATGACATAATTTGTTTAGTCGACCATTATAGACAGTTAATTTAGGATTAGTATATAAGTAGTGTTCACTTATGATTTTAGAGGTCCGCAATTGTACACAAACTCTATAAACTCAAAGTCTTTGTGTGTTTGTAAGAAAAAAGTCATAAAAGTGTATGTATATGCATTCCGTTTTATAAATTAAAGTCTTTACATTCAAGTTATTTATTGCATTGAATTTAATTTCAGTCATCTTTTTTAAGTTTCCTTCAATTTCGAATTTGATGTCAAATTTATTTTAAACTTATATTTTCACACAATATGTCATGGGATCTTTTCGAGTTTAATCCCTTAAGTGAAATCAAACATGATTTTGTTTACCAAATTTCACAATAAACAAATTGGCACGCCCAGTGGGACCCTTAGTGTGAAATTTATACTTTTCGATTTTGAAAATTTGTTTGCAAAGTTCTTCATTTAAGAAATTTCTCAAACCTATGAGTGTGCATGGGGTTGATGAGTGACAGGATAACTAAAAAAACGTTAGAAAACCAACAAGGAGGTACATTAGGAGAATGGTTACTCCCAGAAACAACAGTGGAGAACAACCATCCAGTAGCACAGGGGCAGACACAGTCACTGTAAGTTCGACTGAACCAGTTGCTTCTATTACTAGCACGCCACACATACCGTCAACAACGGCCACACCATTAATTTCACAGTAATGAGTGGTATTCCCCCCCCCCCCAATGACACAGGGTCACATAGTGACTCCTAGACTGACTATGGAAACTGACTCTAGATCTTTTTCTATAAGTTTCACAATGTCTATGATTGGGTGTGAACAATCTTATGGTATGCCAACATCAATGATGGCAAACTTTCATATGAACCTTTCAACATTTGCTGACAGCGTTGCAAATGTGTATTCTTCACTTTTGGCATCAGGATCAGCTATAGGTAACTTTGGTCGAATCATACAACCCTAATTATGGATAGGACTCGGTTCCCAAGCAACGCGAACATTCACTAAAAATTTTACGATGACGATGAGACAACAAATGGATGAAAGTAACCATGATACGGTTAACAAGATTACTCAATAAACGGGTAATATATTTAACCCTTTGATTCAAAATACGAATCAGAGTTGCCAATAATTGGCTACTCAAATTAATCGAATTGTTGATTTTTGTGGTGCCTCTCAAGCACAAGTTCGACCAATTGTACAACCTCAATTGGTTATGTCAATTTGAGACAAGGGGATGGTCCTTGAAGAAAACGTAGTAAATCAAGGGCTACAGTTTCTGCCCCATGTAGTCGAACAAAAGAGATCTAGAGAAGTTGATCGCCTACCAGTTTTAGTGGTTAACCGAAATCAAGACATTGACTAAGTGGTCCATCAAGTCCGACAAGAAAATCTAATAGGAGAGAATAATATTGCAGCCATAGTCGAAAGGATAATGGCGTAAAATGGTGTGAACATGGGCCTACAAAGGACAAACTATACATCTCTCTTGTTGGAGTATGTGTTACAGACTGAACTCATAAGGGGACGAAAAATCCATAAGTTCACCGAATTTGCTAGTGATACTAATGAGTCTGTAGTCGATCATATCGCTCGATATTTGACTGAAGCGGGGGACATAAAGAATAATGAGAACTTAAGGATGAGATATTTTTCTATTTCTCTTGTAAAAAAACGTTTTTACATGGTTTATAACCCTCCGTGCACATTCTATTAATGATTGGACTCATTTAAAAAAATTGTTTCATGAACAGTTTTATATGGGACATTCTAAGATCAGTCTGAAAGAGTTGTCAAGTGTGAAGAGAAAGTTTGATGAATCAATTAAGGACTACCTTAATAGGTTCTGATTGTTGAAAAAAGGTGTTTTATCCAAGTTCCTGAGCACAAATTAGTAGAAATGATCGCTGAGGGCTTATGTTATCAAAAAGAAACTAGATACACGATATTTGAGGTATGACCCAATTGGCTGATAGAGTTTGATAAGTGGAACAGTTAAAGGCTGAGAAAGACAATGAATTAAACTAAGAAAGAACGGGTGGCTTACATTGACATGGATAATAATGACCTGGTGTCAGATGTCGAATATAACCACGTTGAAGAAAACAAGGTCGACCTGGTCGAATTGAAGCTAGGGCCTCTATATGTGTGTAAACTTCTTACACCAGCAAATGAAAAGAACCCTTCTGAACATGAAAAGAGTGATAAATTCCCCAAGAAAACTTATATTTTGATGTGACCAAATGTGACGAGATCTT